TATTTGAGCTAGACCTAATTTTTACATGTTATCTGATAATCCAAATGTCAGTCTGAAAATAGTTGATTGTTCACTGTTTACAAGAAGAATTTTAGTAGCTGAACCTAATCATCAATATTTGCAATGGAATCTGGAAAAGGAACCTGCTCATTACAATTACATGGAAACTATAGCAAGAACCTTTATCATTCCATCTCGTCAAAAGCAGTTTATTCAGGAAAATGTTTTCAATAATGCCCCAATCAGAAAGATAGCTGTTGCAATGAATACAAATTCGGCTGTTGCGGGATCTTTTTATGAAAATCCTTTCAATTATCAACAATTTCATTTGAGAGAGCTTAGAATTATTCGGGGTGGAAGAGCAATTATTTCATTAGATACAACTTCTCCTTGTCGACCCTATGTTACAACAATGAAAGCAATGCAGTTTAACGAAGATTTTCCAGCTCTTCCTATGGAAGATTTTCAAAATCACTATATTCTAGTTTTCGACTTGACTTCACTACAGGATGCCGCTGAACACTTGCATTATCCAGAACTTAGTGGAGAAAGCTTGAGATTAGAAATGTTTTTCCAATTTCCCATGGAGCAAGTAACGGAAGTGATAGTCTTGGGAGAAAGACTATCAAATATTCAAATTGACAAATTCGGAACAGTCGCTAAAAATGTTTAATTTTTTTGACTTTTCAGGTTCCTATAAAAATATTGTAACTTTTTTGGGACTTTTCTTTGTTATTATCTCTGTACTATCAATATTGTTTTTCTTCAGACCTAAAGCTCCAGAAAAAATAGAGAAGGTATGCTGTTTAGTTGAAAACCCGAGACACTTCTTCAACCTAGACTGTAGAACAGTATTCAATAAACTTTGCCCACTATATAAGGCTTGTGTATGGGACTTTGTTGATTCAATTCCTAAATGTGTGTAAGTCATTATTCTTCCTTTTTTAACCTAAAGTACACTATCCAACTATCAATTTCATTTTTAGCTGTAAATCAACCTACAATTGCAAAGATGGATAACATTTCACTTTTAAAAATTATTGAAAGAATTTCAGAGCTCAGGTTCAAGTACATGGGATCATACCCTTCTGATACAGTACCTCAACTAACAAAATACTCTTTTGCAATTATTAACTCAACCCCAAGCAATGATAGAGGAGAACACTGGATTATGATTGCTTGAATGAATAAAAGCTACTACTTCTTTTGAATAAAAGCTACTACTACGAATGAATAAAAGATTCTTTGGGAAGAAAGAGATCAACTTACCCCTTTTTGACGAAAAAATTTCGACGAATGGTTCCTCGAAAGCTACAAAAGACTGATAATTTATGTGGTTTTTACGCAATTTATTCAGCGTTTCTCTTTTTTAAATTCTTCCAAAAGAACTTGAATAATGTTCATGATGTGTATGTTTTGAATTTTATCAGTAATTTCATGTAAAAGTGCATTTTTTTTTGTAAGTGTAAATTTTTGCAGTAATTTTACTATACGATGTAGTGAATTGTTTGATTATTTATGTAATTTAACTTTTTAAATTCCTTAGATTTTTTACGAAAAGCATCTTAGCAACTAACCCTTTGATGAAATACGGAGAATGATGATGGAATATGGATGTTGTAGTCCCCCAATTGAAAGATTTAACGATAGAGTAGACAAATTTACGAAAATTGTACGAAATTTCTAGTAAATTGTATAATTTTCTTAAAAGTTTACTCTGAGAAAGATGGAAACATTATTACACAAAAATATCAGAACCAAAAAAAAATATGATACTATGTTTTTCTCAGTGTAAACTTTTACCGTGGCAGAGCAATTGATAAATTTGGATGATAATTTTTTGGAAAATTTGGAAATTTCAAAGAATTTTTTAAAGATTAAAGACAAAGTGATAAAAGAGAACTGAAATGAATCGTAGCAAGAAATATGACAGAATAAATAAATCAGTTGAGGAAAAAATAAGAGAGATAATTATGTGAAAAAAGATAAAATAAGTCATAAAATTAATAAGTGTAATGAACCTGTCATCCGTTCTCCAGATAACCTGGAGGAAAAAGATTAAGTGGGATATAAAAGTAATCAACCGTGAGGAGCTGTCAAGATTATCCTGATATCCCGTGGAGCGGAATAACTAACCTGTCAAAGATAATCCCCTCTTAACAATTTTCCCCAGATAACCTGAGGGAAAATAAATAACATGAAATAAGAATTTAAGATTCTTTCGAAAAAAAAAATATTCCGTGATATATTAGTTTATGATCCCATACTCTAAATCGAAACTTAATTTTCGTCGAAACTTACCATCTGAAACTTACCATCCAAAAAATTTTTTTTTTCAATTTTCAATAAAAAATTGTTTTTTCAAGATAAAAATGTATTTGCAAGTAAAACTTAAAAAAAAATTTAAAAAAATTTTCTGAAACTTACCTTCTGAAACTTACCATACCGAATTTTTGTAAGACATGATAGTCCTTACATATCACAAATCGTAGAAGTTAGCTAAGAAACGCAAGTATCGGCTAAATCGGGCCCCAAAAAACTCGGGTGCCAAAGTTTTTCTGAAACTTACCATCTGAAACCTTACCATCTTAATACATAGGAAACCTATTCCCTATCTTAATACATAAGGAAATCTATTCCCTAATGAGTTCTTAATTCCCTACAATGAATTTCTAATATATACGGAAATCTATACATGGGAAATTCGTGCGCGGAAAAAAAACTTACCATCTTACCATCTGAAACCTCGTATCTTAATACATTGGGAAACCTATTCCCTATCTTAATACATTGGGAAATCTATAGCCTATCTTAATATATAGGGTGCTGACCGGATACTCTATGGCCTATGTTAATACATGGGGGTCAGCACCCCTCCGGCTGAACTGCCCCAACATATACTACTTACAACAAAGGGTACAAAAAATTTTTTTCCAAGAGGAACGTAACATTGGCAACATTTCAATTTTTGTCGAGGAAGCCGGAGCAAGGTGTAGATGCCGGAGCAACTTCACTCGGTTTTAATCTGGTTGAAGCTGCGATGCAACCTGGGAACCGCATGAGGGAGTTCAACTGGACTTCACGGGACCAATTATGAATTAGAAGGCAAAAGTATTCTTCAGCCTTCTGGCGATACATCGATTTTCAGAAATTCCCTACCCGAAAGTTTTCAACCATTCAAAGTCAAAAAACGTCATTAAATTTTTGCGACAATATCAAGTGTTACATGTAACACAGCGTTTTATTTAAGTCGATCAACCATCGTGCTGAACGCAAAAAGGCCTCACCGAACACTGTGATAAGAACAATATTGATATAATGTAGCACCGGCGAATGACCATTGCAGTATAAGTTAGGTGACACGACTTATCAAAATTGCTAAGAGCCGTTATAGGATACATGAAGGAAGGAAGTGATGAATCCTTCAAAATTGACCACATTTTATACAAATCGATAGCGGCGCTAGAACAAAAAATATCAGCAGATAAACAAAATGACACTGAGTGAAGCGCATTTTGCCAGAAAAACAATTTTTCACTCTCAGGCATAGAAACAAATTCGACCCGGTCAAATTTAAATTGGTATAACTTTATCAAATCCCGTTTAGACCTAGAAATAATGGGCAAGCTTCTAATTTTAGAACAGCGGAGTAAAGACGCAGACACGAGGAGTGATATAGAAAAAGAAGAAGGTAATTGAAAAAAATCCCGAGCTGGAAAGCGACTTGAAAAAATTACATTCGTCTCAATCGATAGAGACACCCACGAGCCCACAGACACACTAAAAGACGGATGCGGTCTTGCCATCTCAACCCAGAGGCAGAAAGCAGAAGCAGCTAGAGGGAGAAAGGAGGCCAGTTCCAGAAAGAGCCACGAAAGAGCAAGAAACAAGTTCAACAACCAGTCTGAAAAAATATTGGCAAAAAGAAGAAGTTGGTCAGGAATTCCGAATTAGCTCTGGCAATTGAAGGAATTCCACTCTGGAAAATTGCACCCAGGAAAGGCGCACCTCAGAATAGCAAAGCTCAAACCATGACTAGGGTAAGCCTGGCAACAAAAATAACAAGATCCGAACCACAATGAAGCGTCATCAGAAACACATCTGGATACATTAACAGGACCCAAAAAAACATAGTTAACGAAATGCAGAACAAAAAGCGGATGGAGAAAAAACAGGAACTGGCCAGTCATAAATGAATCCGAGAAGACAACCACCAGGAACCAGGTCCCTCATTTAAAAAAATTTTGCATGCGAGAAACCCAAATCCACAATTGAGGATAGACAAAACAACCAAAATCATTCAACAGATTCATCGCAGAGAACATAAAAAGGGCAAAGTGGATACGGTCGAACAAACAGACTTGGCTCAGTTGCGCTTTCGGGGCGAATCACCAGCAGTTTCAATAATCGAATACGACCATTAAAAGCAATTGCGGTAACAAAGTAATTGATCCAGTTTTTTTTCTCCGCAAAGGAGTTAACTGATTTGATTACTTCAAATTTTCAGTTTTTTTTTGCCGTTTTTCATTAACGATATTTTCGTTAATTTTTTATCTTCGAAGATTATGGTTCGTTTTCTGCGCTGATTTGTACTAGATTGCAAATAATCGGAACAACTTACGCGCAAAGTATTTCTTTCTAAAACGCATGGGCGGCGATTTACTCCGGTTCAGAGTTCATTTCAATTTGTTTTGAGGCAAACTTTTTGGAACTATACGTTGCTAGACGCTAATTACATTTTTTTACTTTACATAGAGAGAAGTAATCTAAAAAAAGCATTTTAAAACGTTTTTTTTTTGAGTTTTTACCAATTTTAAAAGATAAAATATAACCAGGACCGTAAAAGGCAGTCAAAACATTCAGGGCTTTGCACTGAATCAGCAGTCTTGTTCTTTTTAAAACTGTTTTCAATACCAGTAGATAAGAATTGTACAATATATCATCTTGCCCCTTCCCCAAATCAGATCGGATGAAAAATGAAGCAAAACTGGACGACCAACCTTCTATCTCATGGCTCTTGATGAAAGTGGTCGTGTTAGACTGCCACGGCTTAAACTCCCCCATGAGCCCATACTTTCTACTCTCCTGAGCGTAGTAACAGCTGCCTGAGTAAATTCCACTCATTTTCTGGAACAATGTCCGGATCCAGTGGCTTCCTGCTCCAGGCACTGAGACAACACCAACCCTGGGCACCTTCTTACCTTCTTTGGTGCCTTTTCTGCCATCTTCTGTGAGAAAATCCGCCTTTTTGCAAACTGAATATGCAGAAGGAGTCACGTGAATTCTTTGAGAGCATCCCATTTGAGTGACCGTTTCAATGCTCTGAAACGCTGTGATCATATTCGAGCTGCATGAACACATTTGTTCATCTGATGATTTGATCGTTGTTAAAGCAACGGGCTTCTTTTCATCGTTGCACGTGTTAACACAGAGTTCTTCACCAGTGCTGTTCTGAAAACGCGACTGACCAACCGATCCGCTAGCGATCCTTGAAGTTGTCCAATTGCTGTCTGAACCAGACTTAAATTCAGAGAGAAGGCACCCAACGTAGGATTCATTCTAAAATTCAGAAAACTGTGACTAGCTCTTCTATTTGCTTGAATGTTTCGTCGACTCGGGATGAGAAAGGGGTGGAAGGAGTACTTTTGTAGGAAGGGGGGTTTGTCCGTCTGCTGGTACTGTTATATTGAGTTAGTAAAAATGCGAGTTCAAACAACACTCATGAAGTTTGCCATTGATAGAATTTCCTCCATATAATGGATTTTTATGACTAGCAATTTAATTGCATTGATTGTTATGACTATTCCATAAACCAATGAACCATAGGCAGCGTCGACACTCATTTCAAAGTTATCTTTAAAGCGTCACTGAAGAGTGCTTTCTGACATATACCACGAATTAGTTACTAGTTATCATGCAGTGACCTTCTGAGAAAGTGCGGAATAGTCAAGCTTTACCATAATTTTTCCATAGTTGGGGTTGTTTTTATATCGGTCATTTTTCGACTTCTTAGCTAAACGTTTTTGACATTTTTTTCTACCACTTGAAAATGTTTGGTCTTGTGCTAAAACATTTAAAAAAATATTTTACCGGTAATCATTGTTCGAGAAACTTTAGATGCTTGAAAATGTTTTTTTTTGAAGACTGTAATTCAAACTAGAATAAGTAACGCGAGCGATCTATTTACCCGCAATGAAGTTTCAAGGATAATAATCAAATTTAATAATTTTTGATTCCTTCTCCGTTTGCCGCCCACCTCCAAATTTCCACAAATATTTTTTTAAATCAAATTGTCTGATTGATGAAAAAATTGTCAAATGATCAATAAATGGTTTTTATTATAATGCATCAAATCTCCTGAATAGTTTGTCAAAAGACCGTCAGCAATGTGTTTTAAACTTCGAAATCATTATTCTGAAGGGACAAAACTTTATCATGCCTGACCACAAGGTACTGTTTTTGTACCGTTAGTTTTCACTCATTATATCACTAATTTTTAAAACCAAATAAAAAAAACATGAACTTAATGCAGTTTGCTGCTGATACAAGAATCAAGTGCACCTAAAAACATCAAGGCTAGAAACGCAAAAAAAGTACATGAATAACTGAATCAAAACAAAATTGTTCTAAATGTAAAAAAAGAAGATCTTATTGTCTTTGGGGATGACAATAATCTAAAAAATAATTATTCAAAGAGAAAAAACAATTTCCGCAAATGGACATGCCAGGTATCTTGATGTGCTAGTGGAAAGATATCGTACTTCATCAGCTAAACTGAACAATTGTTTGAGCAAAATGGCTGTTGTAGTTATGTCAAGAATCAGAAAAAAAAAGAATTATGTTTTAAGGTCTTTAATTTTGCCATATTTATTGTTAAGTTCAGCAGTTTTTCAAAATCTGCCGATGTCTCAATTTAAGAGACTAAACAGACAATTTAACTGGGGAATCAAAATAGGCTATATCCACAGAAAACAAATCATGCACAAGATCAACTTCTCATGTCTTTAGTTTTACCAACCGAACTATTCATTACCCAAAATTAATGACGAAAATATTCGATGTGGCGAGAACGCATAAAACAAAGTAGATGCCTAGAAATATTTATAAAAAAATTGTAGCAAACAATGGCTATACTAAAAGAAACAATTTAAACGTTAAGCCGGGAAAATTTGAATTTAACAAAAGTTTTTTGATAGGTTTACTCGAACAAATTCCTTTGGATAGATCCATTAGATCCATCAGTTTTTATATCGAATATTACCCTTGTTTTCATCACTTTTATACAAATTTTATTTTATCATTTACGTGCCGGTGTAGTGTTGATTTTTAAGTTATTATGATAGTTTCGTCTTGTAGCAGCATGTATATTTAACCAAGTGGTTATTTTAAGTTTTACTGTATAAGAAAAAAGAAAGACAATTACATTTGGTGTTTTCACCTAGTTTTGTAAAAACCCTTCAATACATCATAAAACTGATGCTAATGCATGGTTAAGGGAAACAAAAAAAGAGTCTGGAGTTCCATCGTCTGTCTCATAATCAAATTTATAAAAACCAATTGAGATAGAGAACTCATCGTTGATAAATCAAATGAAGTAGAAATCAATTTATTCAATTCGACTTTATTGAATTATAAAAGATTTTACATGATTATGCAAGATTATCTAGATCAAGCAAGTGCCTGGGTTTTGTAAAATCTATTCAAATTTTCGACACTGTAACGTTGCAATTACCCAAACCATTCTTAATTCCTACCTACACCCGCAAGTTACAACGACAATTAGTTACAGGCGACAATTTGTAACAAGCGACCATTTGTAACAGGGCGTTGGCAAGTAGAACACCCGCACTGACAAAAATGGTTTAGGATCAATTTTAGTATGAAAAAAGTACGTTGATCAAATTTAGATCGATTTTAGCATGTAAAAAGTGTTTATTAAATTTAGATCGATTTTAGTATGAAAAAAGTACGTTGACTAAATTTAGATCGATTTTAGTCTGAAAAAAGTTCGAAAATTAAATTTAAAAGATGAAGATTGATTTGGATTGATTCAAAATCAATTTCAATTGATTTTAAATCCCAGCTAAAAAATCTGATCCAAATTGATTTTAAATCTATTTAAATGCATTTTTTCCAGTCTGAATTTGTTTTTATTTTTAAGGGGATTAAAACGGATTTAAATTGATTTAAATAATTTTTTTTTCATTCGCGATTTATTAGTTTCGAATTTTTATTGCATTTATTCATCGCCTATTAATTTTCATTTTACATCCGTACCGTATTGTAGCATAAAAAAAAACCAAATAAAAAGACCAAAATATCGATAAAATTTTATAATTTTCTTGCATATTGTGAGTTCAAAAACTGATCTATATTGACCCTTTTCTTGATTCATTTTATAAGTTTTGCCCAAAATTTGATTCATCTTAATAATTTTCTATAATTTAAATGCATAATAATGAGATCAAATTTTAATTTATTCTGACCCTTTTCTTGTTTGTTACATAGGATTTTGCAAAATCTGATTTACAATAATTTTCTATAATTTCATTGCCTATTTTCGAGCTTAAAATCTGATTCATTTGGATCATTTTATTGAATTATATAACATCTGGCACGAGTTTTTATATTTAAAAATATGAGAAAAAAAACTCCAACAATTTTTTTAAAGGGCATATTTTTTTCGTTGTGTTAGCAAAAAAATTGCTTTTAATGAGTCTGAAAATCCGTCCAAATCGATATAAATTGATTTTTAAGACACTCAAATCCATGCAAAATTTTCAAATAAGATCAATTTAAATCGATTTAAAATCCATTTAATTTCGTAAAATGTACATTGTTAATCGATTTGGATCGATTTAAAACCGATTTAAAATCAATTTAAATCGATCCGAAACTATTTTTGTCAGTGCGGGTACGCTTGCTCCGCTGCGCTTACATCAGGCTCGAAGGGAATACTGCGCATGAATCAGTGTTCCTCGAAAAATCTACTGTTACGAATTGTCGCTTGTTACGAATTTTCGCTTGTTACGAATTGTCGCCTGTTACGAATTTTTGCCTCACGCTGCCGCAAGACTAATAACTATATCCCCTACACTTACCCATTAGATTGATATATGCCCAACCCTCCAACACTTTCATGCCTCTTCACCTTAAAAAATTGTGTGGTGTTATTTCGAGCGAAGCAGCATAATAGTGTGGGGTTGTAAATGGGGTGTGATCGTAAGTGGACGTAAGTGTGGTGAACGTAAGTTTCAGGTAGGTGGCAAGTGTTTGGGGAGATGGGCGAGTATGGCAACAAGTGTATTTTGAAGTTATGGGTAGGTGGGGGTCAAAGTATTAGGGTTAGTTTTCGGTGTCAAATAGAGAAAAGGGATGCTATAAGTGTGATATGTATCGTTTTTAAAATAAGGCAACATTGCGTATAGAATAAAAAATGGCATAGGCTGTGAGAAGTGCAGAAAAAACTGCAGTATTTGCAGAAAAATGGAAACAATCCATTATAGTGGATAACTGGGTGATAACCGATTTAATTTTGCTAGACACATTGAGTTTAAATAGATTAAAATCAATTGCGTGGTCCTAAATAGTACTTCGGATCAATTATAATGACAGCTATGGAAAAAAATGATTATGATAGATAAATATTCATGGAACATCAATGCGAGTTATTTGAATATTTTTTGATTTTTCCTTTCGTTATTCGTTTTTAAAAAACAACCCCAGTTAATTTATCAGTTACTATTTGTGCCGCTAACACTGTTTAACAATGGCATCAAACTTGATTGCTACACCATACTCGACAACTGCAGCAGCTGCTCATATATCCTCAGCAAAACGGCTGAAACACTTCAGTGCAAACCAAGCCAACAACTACAGCTTAGCGTACGAGGTACTTTCAGTAAGGACAAAGTGTCTTCCTCGCTCGTCCGGCTTAGTATCGGACCACATAACGCTACAAAGCCTACTTTCACCCTACAACCAGTCTATTCAGTTGAAGCTCTGAGTTTTGACGCCATCGACGCAAACAACCTTAACAAAACGTGCTCACTCTACAATCACCTTCGACATGTCAACTTTCCTGAACTAGGCGACAACACAGTTCAAATTTTGCTTGGCGTAGATGCTTTCTGGAATATTGCGGAGCCCGATATCAGAAAAGGTCCTACAGGCACCCCCTACGCTGTAAAAAACCTACTAGGCTGGACGATCACTGGCCCACTCAACCAGAAATCTAATAGTTCCGGATCAAATTCACACTCAACTAACTTCATTGACTTAAATGATCAAGAAGACGCTAATCTCACTGAATTAGTGGAAAAATTCTGGAAAGTGGAAGGATCAGGCATCCAGGAAGATAACAAAGCTACATACTCAGATAAAAGCAAACGACAACTAAGATTTTTGGAAAAAAGCATTGAGCACGATGGAGATCGCTACAAAATAAATCTACTCTGGAAAAACGAAATAAAATTGCCAAACAATTATCCGGTAGCTAAAGCTCAACTCTATCGCTAAAAAAAACGGCTCAGAAAAGACCCTGAAACCATGCAACTCTA